TCGTCATTCCCGTTAAGAAGACAGGAGTCCTCCAGGTTTTGCAAGACCAGCTTTGTTCTGAGGAAACAAAAGAGCATCTATCAGCCACTATCTATCAGTTAAAAATGCTAAATGCTAAATGAGCAAGACAAGGTAACACCTACGCAAATCCTGCAGGTTGTAATTAGTGTGGATCTAATATTTTATACACTTAAAAAATGCATAATTTTATTTTTAAATTGCTATGTTTTAACACATTTTTTATTATTTAACTTTTATATTAATCTATAATTCATTTATACATTATTTAATATAGTAGTTAATATAAAAGTTTGTTTATACTATGTATTTAAATGTAACAACACCTTTATGGAGTAATCTTGTTATACCTAAACAATGACAATAAAAATATAAACATTCTGTCCAATACCAATAAGCCAATTATTATTTTTCTTATGTAAATAACAATATTAAAATTCTTTACTGTTTAAATAAACACAGTCATTTTAAATACTACAATTAAATTTAGCATTACAACAATAAAAAAATGGATATTAATTTTAAGATTTGCTAATGTTATTAAATTATTAATGCTTTTAAAAAATATATAGCATTTAGTTAGCATTAAACAACTATGGTAATTTAAAAGAAAAATAGGCGAAATGAGCATGCGCAATTAATTAAATTCAATACTGTGCAAACATTTTTTTTTATATTTGCTGGCGTTTAATATTATGCATCTCTACTACCAAGAGCAGATTTGACTTAATTAGCTAGTAATTAAAGAATAAAATACTAAGTTACTGACCTCTGTGGATCGGTGAACACGAACTTGCGCAGTTTAAGGTCTCTTAAAATGACACCGTTCTCATGACAGTGCGCGACCGCGGCTGCCATCTGGCTAAACAGGCGCACTGCCTCATCCTCCTGCAGCCTCTTGCAGGTGCGCACGTATGAGTGCATGTCTCCATAGTTACGCTCGAAGAATGTGTACACGTTGGCCTCCCCGAGCACCACCTCTGAGATCTTGCAGATGTTGCTGTGTGGAAGCAGACGTGTGTAGGGTGCGATGAACTCGTGATACTTCTTAATGGAAAACACCTGGTGGCAACATACCAAAACAAGATGATTATTGATCCCTCACTACATCAACTTATATTAACAGAAACTATTTTAAATCCACTATAATGAAGCATCTATGCTCACCTTGCATGTGTACTCCTGTTCCGTGACCTGATGAACTGCTCTGAACGTCTGAGATCCTTCTGTGGCCTCCAGCAAGATGTAGGGCCCAATACGCGAGACATGGTGCTTCTCTGAGCCCGGATGCTCATGGCTCTGGGACAGCGGGCGAAGACAGGGCGCGAGACCCGGGGATGGAGGCTGGCTGAGTCTGCGGCGCTTGCATTTGAAGGTATCGGTGTTGTGAGAGTCCTCAAAGTCTACTCGCTTCAGTCGCAGTGGAGGTGTAGGAGTTGACAGGTTCATACTCATCTGTGACAAAAACAAAACTGGGTAAGCTCATGACCTTGTTACAGCATGACTTAATGTACCATAAAGGCATATTGGATGAAGAGTCTATGCACAAAGGTGAAAAGGAAAATTGATAAAAATGAGTTGTGCATTTGATTTTATTGCTCCACACTTCAACACTATAATATCTCACACTAACTAACTCAACAAGAATGGGAGGTTCGTTAATATTGTGTAATGAAAGGAGGTAGTTTAAAACTGTTGAATGACTATGTGATGGGTTGCGCGATCATACTGACTCAAGTTCTTTTCGAAGTGCTGCTCGGCGCCGAGTGAGTCATACAGTTATTACCATACAGTCTATGGTTATTACACATTTAAGCGTACGTCATACAATGACGTAGCCTAGTTTCTTCCACTTCACCATTTTAAACTAACTTTTTCTATTAAAAATATTAGTATTTTTCGTTTTTTGTTTAGAAGACTATTTTTAAACATTTTCGTGTGTGAGGTTTCGGAACTTGACCCAGGTCACGTCGGACTCGAACCTAAATCCCCAGAGCGAGCGGTTTTTAGCATAAACGTAAAACATTACACCAAAGTTCTCAGCTGAATAAACGATTTAAGTCATATGCTCAAAATGCTCAAGAGATAGGATGTGATATCCAAGTTGACAAGGTTCAAACAACAACATACGCTGCATCACTTTCCATGTAAAGTTTAACCACAAAGTGTTTCTCAATAATCGTTTAAATGGGAAAGTTGATCAATAATTGAACTAATCTTAAGGACTCTTGGTTTGTTGTACTAAATAGTGATTCTAGAGGTTAATGTGACGCTTAAAGGTTTGCAGGACTTACCTCGCTGCTTAGACAAAGGACCCGCTCCTCTCCAAAACAGAACAATGAAAACTACAGGCGCACTTAGTTGTGTCTACTTGTCAGAGAACATTTCCACCGGGGAAAAACATACAATATTATGAAATGGGCACTGAGAAACTGTCAGCTGTAGTTGAGTCTCGGCATAGGAAAGAAAATGTCGTCTCCAATGAATGCAGAATAAATATGAGTCAGTTTGAAAGGAGGCGCGTGCCTTATACAGTAACGTTAGGTGATTTGAAAAGTATCTCCGGCTTCAAAGTGTTTTGAAGATATTCGTGCACATTTAGACTTTTTCCATGCGTATTCTGTCCCTTTCTTTGTCCTGGAGATTGAGCAAATTGATACTTGTGAGTCTGGCGGCAACACCAAGAGACCTTCGGTTGTTGGCACGAATGTCTTTGTTCCTTATTCCCGCTGAATGAACGCGTCCTGCATGGACAATATTTCCTTGGATCTTGATTTTCACTGTTGGTATAACGTCCTTTGGTGGTCGGGTATAGTTTTAGATCTTTCACGGAGAGTACCGGACAAATAAAACTTGATTAAACGTTGTTAGACGCACTTCACTGTAAGTTTTGCGATACGACACACAAGGAATTGTCCTAAGAAAGTTTAACTAGCTTAGAGGACGCGTCCGAGTTGGTGACAGCACAGAAATGAAAAAGTAGTCCTTTAGTTGGTCTTTTGTTGCTGCCGAAATAAAGGTCCTTTTAATAATGAGATCACAAATCAGACGTGGCCCCTCAGCCTGACCGTCTGACTGTAAAGTCTCACTTTGGCTGGGCACGTCTAATATGCTCAGTGTGCCTCACCAGCCTGACTCGATGATGCTGTTCTTAGTAAGATTGCGACATCTTGGCTCCGCCCCTCCGGTCTGACGACATCTAGTACAGAGCTTCGCAATAATATGCACCAATTTTGAAGTTTGCAAGGGGTGGATTGCAAACACAAAGCGTGGCGTTTAATGGAAATATTTAGCCAATTTTACGCAGTAAACACCGCTAAACTGACCACGACAACTTGACGGTTTCAAAAGTAGCGAATATGTAGTGCACAATGTGCTATCAATATAGCCTCCTACTGAATTTCAACGGAGAGGGAAAATAACGCAGGAAATAAACAAAGTAATGTAATAGATCGTGTGAATGTACATTAAAGCGAGCGAAAACCGTGTTATATGTGTTGCTATATATATACGTTAAGTTTGTTCTTTTTGCAGTTGTGAAGATTAATGCCCCACCCCTGTGTATGACTCAATACCAGTGTTGGTGTTGCACATCAAATGTCTGTCAGGGCGACATGCAGGTAGATGACAGATATAGAGCAAAATACGAAATATGAACCCATAGAAAATGAATATGTGTAGTTTCTCCTAAACAGAAATAATGGCGTTTACATGTTTCTCTTTTCTCAGGTCTCCTCTAGGGATCTCAACAATGCCTCAAACTGTGTTCAAGTTTGCAGAGAAACCAAAAGTCAGACATTTCAATATGAACTCAAACATTTTCATTAAATTCTCTAAATTTTTATGGTGTCCATATACATTTGACCACTTACCGTTGGTCAACAATTGTCTCATTTTAGGTCCGTTTTATTCAAGATGTTAAATGACATGAAACTCATTTAAACCTCCTTGAGGTAAATTTCCTCTAAGGCATGTTCAGTGAGCTAATCTTAACCTAATTCCATATTACGTTTTGCAGCTGCATTTTGTGTTATTCGATTTCAGTCTATATTATTGCTGGTGTACTGGTTATTTAGTACACTACATGTTTATCTCATAGATGACCTACACTATGCTGGTTGCAGACCCTGTAACCTGAGGCAGGGTGCACCAGGCAGTCAGCAGGATGCCTCCACAGCGCTCATGGTTTCAAGTTGAGTCAGAGGTTTCATGTGTGGGTGGGTGGAAAGAGGTTTCCTGGGCTGTTCCACCATCAGAGGCCTGAGTGGGAGACCAACCACTCCTTAAAATGGAAACGTTTTTGTTGTACGGTGCGTTTTATCGTTTATCTTGTACCTCGAGCCACCAGATGCAACTGTTCAAAATGCGCTAAATAGATGGATGGATATTCAGGGGATTTCTTAAAATGTAATCCTTCGATTTGACAGCCATAGCTGAGTCACAACATTTTAATATCACCATCTGAAAGTTAAAAGTGTAGCACAGCTCCTCTGCGTGTTGACAGAGGGAATTGTTAGGATGAATATGACTCTTATTTCCAAGAAATCTCCTTCCTGTCTGTGTCTACACAGATGTCACACATTCTGGATTGAGACATATTGTTACCATGGGAACAGGCAATGTCCTCACAAAGGCTCTGTCTCATCTTGATGGACACTAATGGTGGTTTACCGCCATGGAAGCACTGGTCCTAAGTGATCAGGAAGTCATGAATATCCTCCCTCCAGTTTCCACCAGCTGATGACAGCCTTTGGGCAAAAAGGGCACATTTGTTCTCTTTATATCTCAGTTGGTTTTGATGAAAGACATGCTGACCTATTCATATTGGCTCTGCATCAGTTTTTCTCACACGCAGACACAAATACACTCAACCACAGACACGTCGCTGAATTAGCCTAGTTTACGAAAAGGGGCAGACCTACATATCAAAGTCTGATTGACTGGGTTTGATTGAGTGGGTTATGTTATAAGCTCCCAGATCTCTCTCTAGAGGACGTGCTACACCACTTCCGCAACTAACTGGCTAATCTTGTTAGTAGCAATGCCATTAGAATAACAGAAACACTTAAAAGACTATTTGAATCTGTAACTCTTTCGGAAGGTAAGAGCAGACACAAATATTATCTTATAGGCTACTGAACAATTTTAACATTTTGATTTCAATTAAACTACAGAAAAGATCAACGCATGGTACTTTTGAAAAACATGCCTGTGGAGTGACCTGATGTTGTTTCTCAAACCCTTTACAGCAATTTTAAATTGAAATCTCTAGTGAGTGGTGCTAAAAGCAAGTTGAGTTCTATCCAAAACAGACGAACATGAATTTGGAAACGTTTATGTTGGTTGTTGTATGTAATGCAACAGTTTGGAAATGAAATGTTCAGTGAGTGGCACTAAAAGCACATTCAGTTTTATCCAAAACTAAGTGAATTTGACAATGTTTTATAGCATTGTTGTACATATCATGACAGTTCTGGACACAAAATGTCCTGTGAGTGGCGATAATGCCTTAGCGCGTTTGAAAATAATGTACCACCTACAGTAAACTTTACCCTAAAAATAGCTGATAATGTTAACAAAAGTGCATTTGATGATGCATCAATGCCATTTTAGCCTGTTTCTATTATTATTTACGCTGTTTTATCGTGGCTCATGTTTCACAGTAGTTGAGCTCTCTGTATCACAAGTGTACCAGGTGAGCTATCGAGCAAGTTTACTACATCAGAAAAGCCATTCATATGCAGCTAGCTATGTAACACAGACTGTTTGTTTTAGTTGAAGTCATAACATATTTTTCAAGAAAACATGCAAATATAAGTCTTTATTAATTGATAAATTTCTGTGAAAGAGTTAAAAAAAAAATGTAGGTAGAAACATGTTTTGCCAGTGAGCCTAGGTTGAAAAAGGTGCTACAGTGAAGATTAGCATATGATGAAATGTAAACTTAAAGAAACTCCTGAAGTAATTACTAACAATAGATACAGAGTGGTTTTGGGAGAGTATGGGTGGGTGATTCTCATTTTACTTCTCACCAAAGCCAAAATACTCTCCCATCAGCATACCAATTATACATCACAGAGCAGCAAGTGCTTAGAAGAGTATTGAGCAACTTGGACTAGAAGAGGATCAGAAATCAGCTCATTTCTGGTTATTAGCCTACTGCTAAAAGGCCATATCTGGAAGATTGTGTCACTCCATTGCAAGTTTTTTTTTGTTTGTTTTTTATGAAACCATCACGTGTGTTTTAAAGAGAGACAGAAAGTCAGCAGGTTATTTCCTTTTTTAAGCCTCGCTCTGGATCATCCGCAGTGTTTTTGAAAGATTGTGAAAGTCTGAATTCCTCAGCTGTGAGCGGTCTCTCAGATAAACAAGTTACTCAGAGCACTTAATGGCACATCGAATGGCTTTGCGCTCCTGTTTTGGGTTTTTCAGATGTCTTAAAGTGGCGTTAAGTGGCTTTGTGGGGAAAAAAACAAAACTGCATTTATAATATAAACTCCAAACTTTGAGTAATTTGATTCTTTCAAAATCTTTAACGGTTTTTGCTGTGTCTATTCAGGGATGCTCTTTATTCTGCTTAAGTTTCCACTGAGATCCTCTGTAAACAGACCTCCACCCTATCTTTCTAGATCACAAGTGTAAAGTGGCAAGTCTTTTCATTTCCAGCAGTTAAGCGTTCTCTGTGTAGTTGGGCCCAACAGCCCTATCTGATTTCAAAGCTTAAATGTCTATTGTGTGTGTATTGACTTTATTGACCTCTTAATGGCTCATTAAAGGATCCACAAATATGGCTATAACTTTTTTTTCTTGCTTTGTCAATCAACAGTCTTTACATATTTTATTTGTTTGAAACAGTTCTTGAATAGGTCTAACTGAAGCTTTTATGTTTGTATAGAGTGTAATTAGCATAATAAGCTTATTTGTATGTCAGACATATAAGACATTTTTACTTACATGACAAATAGATACTATTACAGAAATATGAATATAAAGAATACGAAAAAACAGAAAATACTGCATATGTATATACATATATGTGACCCTGGTCCACAAAACCAGTCATAAGTCGCACAGGTATTTGTAGCAATAGCCAACAATACATCGTATGGGTCAAAATGATCGATTTTTCTTTTATGCCAAAAATCATTAGGATATTAAGTAAAGATCATATTCCATTAAGATATTTTGTAAATTTCCTACTGTAAATATATCTAAACTTAATTTTTGATCAGTGACCAGATATGTGTTGCTAAGGACTTCGTTTGGACAACTTTAAAGGCGATTTTCTCAATATTTAGATTTTTTTGCACCCTCAGATTCCAGATTTTCAAATAGTTGTATCTCAACCAAAGATTGTCCTATCCTAACAAAAAATACATCAATGGAAAGCTTATTTTAAAAAATGGTTTTGTGGTCCAGGGTCACAAACACACACACACACACACACACACATATATATATATATATATATATATACACGCACACACACACTAGTCAACATTTGAAGTGGATCAAAAAAGTTCATCAGAGCTGTCCTAAGACAAGAACACATTATGGTTTTGGGTTTTAGGACAACTTTGATGAAAGGTTTTGATCCACTTCAAATGTTGACTAGTGTGTGTGTGCGTGTATATATATATATATATATATATATGTGTGTGG